TTATTTCCATATTTGTTACTTTATCTTAATAGTCTCATCTTTATTTGTATTTAGATATAATTGACATTCTAGAGTACGCATCCATCTCTACTTAAAATCCCTATATATTCAAAATCCCCTACTAGAATCAGCTTAGCACTTTTAATAAGTATTTGAAACAAAAATATTGATTAACTACAATATGTCCTTAATATGTCCTCTACTCCATCATCCTAGAGATTTTTTCCTTTCTAGACTTCCTCCCATTTCCTGGAGCTGGCTCTTCTTTTCTGAGTTTTTAATCTGGGTCCTTCTGGTTCCCCCAAACCTGATAACAAGACAAGCACAGCTCCCTCAGAAGAAATGAGACAAGAAATCAGGGGCAACTCTAATCATACTTTCAAGGTCTCTTGCATCCTCCCACATTCCTACACAAAACATAATAAATATCTCAGGTCATTTCCTGCTTCTGCTACACGTGTGGTAAGAAACAAGTCACAAAGGACAATGTCCACCCTGACCAATACCAAGAACAACAAAATTTGCTCAATAAATGCCAAAGTGTAAACTGACTCATGATGTCACTGAAAGGGGTTACACATTTTTTCATGTTGAGTACAAAAGTATAAGTTTCAAAAGATGTGAAGTCAAGTAAAAAAGGGGAATCAGGGACACATGTTTTAAAATCCTAAAACAGGAGAATTCTTCCACACCTGCAACCTTCCATTTAAATGCCAATTTGCCTGTTATAATTTTCACACTCGGTACTTTCTTTCTTCACCACTTTGCATATAATGGCATTCATTTTGTAGGGGGACCTCAGGAGAAGACATACATGCTAAGCTTCTACTTTAACCTTCACTGTAATAAGCTTACAATGGGCATTAAGTAATTTTCTTATCAAAATGAAGTGTAAAATTTCTCTAAGAAATGTAGAAACAAAGGATTCAAGAATGCACCTGGCAGATAAGTAGTTACGCATGCGATCTACAAAGGCATACAAAGACAAAAACAAAAGGCATTAATACTCTTAATACTTTCCAATGTCCATTTTTAAAATCTGAAATCAATGAGGTAATGTCGGCAGTAGCAAAGAACTACAGGAACAACTTTTTGCCAAAACTATCCAAGTAGTCAAAAGCTTTTTCCAAATGTACTTTTCTAACCAGTCTTGTATTTGATACTTAGTTCATGACATAAAATTTACTCCTTTATTTCTGAGGCAAGTTACTCAATTACAACTTTTCCTTGATACAAAGGAACATAATCTTTCCTCCAAGAATCCTGGAACAATTAAAGAGGCAAAAAAGAAAGAAAATTTTAGATACCCATAAAACCACCCCCAAAGATAAACACTCAATGCTTATCATTTTAAACTTTTTATAATATAGAGGCATTGTGAAATGATAAAATGATAAAAATGCTCCATTGGCCACATGCAACCTTCCATATGCTTTTCTCATTCTACACATGCCAGGTGTTCAAGACTGCAGTGCCACAGAAGTAAGAAGCTGAACTCCTCTATTACCACAGGGAAGGTTACCACCAAACATCCAGGTAGACTGTAAGTGCGTGTGTGCTAAGTCGCTTCAGTCCTGACTGACTCTGCGACCCCATGGATTGTATTCTGCCAGGCTCCTCTGTCCACGGAATTCTCCAGGCAGTAATACTGGAGTAGCTTGCCATGCTCTCCTCCAGGGGATCTTCCCAGCCCAGGAATCAAACCCACATCTCTTGTTTTTCTTGCACTGCAGGAGAATTCTTTACTGCTGAGGCACCAGGGAAACCTCCAATTTAGACTGAAGTGTGAGTAAAAAATAAGCATGTTAACCTACTGAGATTTTCACATTGACTTATTCAGCAACAATTTAGTTTACCCTGACTAATACAGCAACTGGTACTGGGAAATGAGATGTTGCCTTAACAAATCCTTAAATATCCATCATTAGCTGAGCAGTTGGATGTTGAGTGGTGGGACCACTGACATAGGAAGGTAAAAACAATGAACCTTATACATAATAGAAAATAGTTACAGAGAATAAAGAAGCAGTGTGTGCTGGCTACCATCATATGGGGGCAGCTAGCTGTTACGAGAAATAGATAAGCCCAAGAGAGAATTTGCTGACTTGCAAGGAAATAGAGTCAACAAATTTTGAACCCTGAAGAATTGGAAAAATCTGATCACTTCCAGAAACCAAATAGTAAGACATAACATTGTGAAAGTTGTTGAAGGACCAAAGCCCTTTAAGACATAGCCTTGTGAAAAAGACAGAATAAGGAAGTGGTTTTTAGCTTTAGGGTGTTAGATTGCCTCTATTAGAAAGAAGATGAGAATGAAAGTAGAATAAAATGTATATTTAGTGACTAGAAAAGATGGTGGAAGAAACAATGCAATCTGTTCATTAAATAATTCTATTCCCCTTTTGAGCACACCCATTAAAAAAAAAAAAAGTATTTTCAAGTCTCCTTGCGTCAAAATGGAACCTTTATTTTTCATCAAAGAGAGTGAGCAGAAGTTCAATGTTTCAAATGGTCAAAATCCCTTCTCTACACTTCTTTTTTCTTTCTCTACCGACTGGATGATGCAGTTATAACTTTAGAGTCATGAATTCGGCCTCATGATAATGTGTGAGAGATCTCTGAATGACTATGGAGCAGACACTCCTCACTCTCCTCCTCCCACCACACACACGCACTGATCCACCTCAGATTGGGAAATGAGAACTCAGTAACCTTGTATCGTATTTAGCAACTGTGATATTGAGATTGTAATAGGAATTAGCACTATTTCCTTGACTAATGTAAGTGAATAAATAGATCATGTTGTATTTATGTAATGGAATACCAACAGCAATGTAAATGAATGAATTAATGAATTATAGGTGCACACAATATCAAGGGTGAATCTCAGGAATAAGATTACTGAGATGCAAATAAATAAACAAACAGCCAAACAAGCTTAATAAGAAATGTGGGTAAGAAAACAAATTCAATATCTCTGAGAATGAAGACAGGGGTGTGCTTTCCCCGTACCCTTCCCTCCCCCTCCCAGCAACCATAAGTTTGTTCTCTAAGTCTGTGAGTCTTTTTTGTTGGGGGGAAGGGATAGTTAGGGAGTTTGGGATGGATAGGTACGCACTGCTATATTTAACATGGATAACCAACTGTATAGCACAGGGAACTCTGCTCAATGCTATATGGCAGCCTGGAAGGGAGGGGAGTTTGGGGGAGAATGGATACATGTTTGTGTATAAACAGCTGATCCCCTTCACTGCTCACCTGAAACTATCACAGAATTGTTCATTGGCTATACCCCAATACAAAATAATTGTTTTTTAATTTTTAAATTAAAGGATGGGGGTATGACACTGGGGAGAACAATCATAATGCTCAACGACAAAGGCATTGTTTTATGCCTTAAATTAAGTGGCCCTTGTATCATTTTTTTAATATATTTTCATATTTTATAAAAGTAATTTACTATTCAATTAATATTTACCTTAAAAAACTTAAAGCCAAAATAATTAGTACTCACATTTTTGAGATCACAAATATATATCTGCACCTACAAAGTAAATGAATAAACAACTGCCTAAACAATACGGAAATATATTCTGAGACTTTTGAAAAGTCTCTAGTGACAGCGCTGGGTGGGCTACACAGTTTGGTCTCAAAAAAACTTACAGTCAACATGATGTTCTCTGGACAACTGTTAGGCATCCCAGAAAGTGACTCTAAACAATGAAAACATGTTATTGATATCAAATATATAACTAAAGTCTTTGAATGAAATTAATTCTTAAAATGTAAAGAGGCAATATTTATATTACAAATCATATCATGTAATATATGGTTTTAAATATGTATTTATAACTACAAGGTAAATATAAACAGATACGTAACTGTGGACAGAATGATTTTTATATATATTTTGGTATTTTTCAATACTGTTTGAAGCTTTTTACAATGAGCATATGATCATTTTTACAAAAGCCCTTCCCCACCCAGGGATCAAACCTGCGTCTCTTACATCTCCTGCATTGGCTGGAGGGTTCTTTACCACTAGCGCCACCTGGGAAGCCCCAGGATATGACATATGGGGACCTTATTAGAGAGAGAAACCTTACTTTCTATGTTAGCCATTCTGCAAGAGTTTCACATAACATTAAACAGCAGAAAACTCCACTTCAAGACCTAATAGGCACCTCAAATTTAACATGTCCAAAACTGAACTTCTAATTCCCCTCGCGAACTGCTCTCCCATTGCTTCCCCATCACACTCAATAGCAACTTCACTACTCAGACTACTTGGAACAAAAGTCTTTATGTCACCCTTCTCCATTCCTTAGTCAATCTAAGCAGCTTTCTCCACAAAACATGTCCTGGACCTGGCTCCCTCTTACCACCTCTACCATCAGAACCCCAGCACAAGCCACCATGGCCTTCTAACTGATCTCATTGCTTCCATCCTTCCATGCTACAGGTTTTTCTCTACACAGAGAATTAAGAGATCCCTTTAAAATAAGCTCAGAGTAGGTTACTCTTCTGTACAATTCCTTCAGTGCCTTTCCGTCTCACTAGGAGTAAAACCAAGGTCTTTTATGCTGGCCTAGCCTCTTATCCACTTATCTGCTCTTATCTCCTGCCACACTCTTCCTCTTCACTCTATTCCAGCCACACCAGCTATTCCTCATTGATTTGTTCCTCAAGCCACGCATATTCCTGCTGCAAGGCCTATGTCTTTGCCATTTCTTCCTAGGCACATTCTTCCATCAGATATCCACATGGCTCACTCTGACACTTTGTTCACATTTTTGCTCATATACAATCAATTCCTGTTATTCACAGTAGTAATATTCTGTGTGTTATGTTCCATGATATAGTAGTGTCTAGATGATAGAAGGCACTCAAAACATAATTGTTAAATGAATGAATGATATTGGTCAGGTGGGAGGAAGCCGTGTTCTATCAACTGTTCAGAAGCAAAAGACATCATCAAGGAAGACTGCAACCCAGCCTAAATGCCAAGTCAGAAACCTAGGAAACTAGATGCTCTCAGCCATGAAGAACTTAGAGAGGGACTAAAGAAAGAATTGGTAAGATCAATCATATCTTACCAAAAAACAACAACTTTTATTGTCAGACAAAGTATCCGGGGGGAAAAATTGCCATGATTGGCCCCTACACAGAAAGCTGAGGTCTCCACTACTTTACAACATCCTATGTTACCTAACTCTTACAGGCTGGGATGGAAGGAAAGATAAGATATCGAAACATCTAGTGTAAAGCCCTAGAAAAATGCATTCAGCTTGTAAAATTCAAGCATAAAATATTTCTCCCTTAAATCCACACACACATATGCTACTCAGAACCCCTTATGCTGCCTGTCACCATTTTTTTTTCCTGTTAAACATTCTCAAAATCCTACCTTTCCAGAATGGCTGCATTCATAACAAGTTCTTAACTCATGAAGGCTTCAGCCTCACCAGGAAAGGCTTGGAGTCAGATGCAGAGAAGCAAGGCAGCAATACTGTGATTTTTCTATTCTCAGATGCACATCTCTGTTTCTTTCTCTTTTTTAAATTCATTTATTTTTTTTTTTTATTGTAGTGGTTTTTGCCATACATTGACATGAATCAGCCATGGATTTACATGTGTTCCCCATCCTGAACCCCCCTCCCACCTCCCTCCCCATCCCATCCCTCTGGGTCATCCCAGTGCACCAGCCCTGAGCATTTGTCTCATGCATCCAACCTGGACTGGCGATCTGTTTCACACTTGATAATATACATGTTTCGATGCTGTTCTCTCAGATCATCCCTCCCTCGCCTTCTCCCATTGAGTCCAAAAGTCTGTTCTGTACATCTGTGTCTCTTTTTCTCTGTCTTGCATATAGGGTTGTCATTACCATCTTTCTAAATTCCATATATGTGCGTTAGCATACTGTATTGGTGTTTATCTTTCTGGCTTACTTCACTCTGTATAATGGGCTCCAGCTTTACCCATCTCATTAGAACTGATTCAAATGTATTCTTTTTAATGGCTGAGTAATATTCCATGGTGTATATGTACCACAGCTTCCTCATCCATTCGTCTGCTGATGGGCATCTAGGTTGCTTCCATGTCCTGGCTATTATAAACAGTGCTGCGATGAACATTGGGGTGCACGTGTCTCTTTCAGATCTGGTTTCCTCGGTGTGTATGCCCAGAAGTGGGATTGCTGGGTCATATGGCAGTTCTATTTCCAGTTTTTTAAGAAATCTCCACACTGTTCTCCATAGTGGCTGTACTAGTTTGCATTCCCACCAACAGTGTAAGAGGGTTCCCTTTTCTCCACACCCTCTCCAGCATTTATTGCTTGTAGACTTTTGGATAGCAGCCATCCTGACTGGCGTGTAATGGTACCTCATTGTGGTTTTGATTTGCATTTCTCTGATAATGAGTGATGTTGAGCATCTTTTCATGTGTTTGTTAGCCATCTGTATGTCTTCCTTGGAGAAATGTCTGTTTAGTTCTTTGGCCCATTTTTTGATTGGGTCATTTATTTTTCTGGAGTTGAGCTGGAGGAGTTGCTTGTATATTTTTGAGATTAATCCTTTGTCTGTTGCTTCGTTTGCTATTATTTTCTCCCAATCTGAGGGCTGTCTTTTCACCTTGCTTATAGTTTCCTTTGTTGTGCAAAAGCTTTTAAGTTTCATTAGGTCCCATTTGTTTATTTTTGCTTTTGTTTCTAAAATTCTGGGATGTGGGTCATAGAGGATCCTGCTGTGATTTATGTCGGAGAGTGTTTTGCCTATGTTCTCCTCTAGGAGTTTTATAGTTTCTGGTCTTACATTTAGATCTTTAATCCATTTTGAGTTTATTTTTGTGTATGGTGTTAGAAAGTGTTCTAGTTTCATTCTTTTACAGGTGGTTGACCAGTTTTCCCAGCACCACTTGTTAAAGAGGTTGTCTTTTTTCCATTGTATATCCTTGCCTCCTTTGTCGAAGATAAGGTGTCCATGGGTATGTGGATTTATCTCTGGGCTTTCTATTCTGTTCCATTGATCTATATTTCTGTCTTTGAGATGCACATCTCTGAAAAAGAGATGCAGTTTAAGGTTAAGGTCTTAGAACACTTAGGTCTTAGTATTGTCATTTTTTTCTATCATAATTAAATAATGCATAATCTTAGAACCACTGGTGTCTTAGATTCAGTGAAATATGTTTAAAGCAAATTTAGAAGGATCAGCCAGAGCCAGATGAGTTATGCTAATAGAGGCTTTTGTCAGAGGCTCATCTGATGAGGATTTTTTTGTTAGGTGCTGACCAGAGTACCTGGTCTGAATGGAAGTAGATACTGTTCTTCTCAGGCTAAGAGGTTTTCAAATCTAGTTGAAGAAGGAGCCATCTCTCTCAGCATGGAATACAGGCCAGATGAAAGCCAAGTCCTTCAAGCTCTCTGCTTCCTTGCAGCCTGCTACCAGAATCAGGGTTCTTGTAGTAGGTGTTTTAACTGAGTCTCTAACACCCATAGTAAAAATTTCCACATACCCCAGTTTTGCTGGGGTGAGTTTATACAATCTTTTACTTAAAATAAGATGTTCAAATTATATCTCACACAGACTAGTATCTATTTTCAGGGGGAAAAACGTCATTCTTATGAGGAAATTTCATCTTTACTCTAGTACTTCTCAATACTTTCATGATCATATTGCATGGCGACCTCCCGGGAAAACAGTCACAAAAGAAACAGGCTAAAATCTCATAAGCCTGCACAAGCTAAAGCCAAATCCATGGGAAAACGTACTCTCCCAGCCTGACACTGCCCTCTTGTATCTTAGCAAAGTATTCAGGCAGAGCAGGCAATTAAGAGGTTGTTCAAGGATTTGGATACAGCAGTTGAAATCCTGGTCACTGAATTTCAATACAGTTGTCACCACTGCAGGGGACAGAGTAAGGAAATAGGGCAGAAATAGGCCCTACAGAATATTCAGAGGGCACTTAAACTTAGTCAATTTTCTCTCAAAAAAGGATGCAGCTTCATCTTCTCGACAAAGGCTCTAAATAGCAATCACTGCAGATGAGTCTTGGCACTGTAACTCCCTTGAGTTATCTCATGTTGTTCAATAGATGTGCAGTTAGAGGGCATTTTTAAAATCTCATATTGGATGGTACAATCATATCAGAGCTTCCTGAATGGGCCAAAGAAGCAGCAACATTTTTTATTGGGAAGAAAATGCCTCATGAAGAAATAAAAGTCTCCAAACTATGTCTTTATTTGTGGCTAGTCTATGGTGTTTTTAAAATAGCTCATATACCACTAATCCATTTAAAGATGAATGAATATAATTTTCTAGGGCAATTTAAAAATAAATACTGAATAGCAAAAAATGAAGATCACATGTTTTTCTTTCTTATTCTCTTCTTATAACATCTCTTAACCTCTATGGAGGGATTAATGTCCTCTGTATATGTGACTTTTTTTTAAATCAAACCATTTGGAAACAGTGAGAGACTTATTTTGGGGGCTCCAAAATCACTGCAGATGGTGATTGCAACCATGAAATTAAAAGACACTTGTTCCTCGGAAGAAAAGTCATGATCAACCTAGATAGCATATCAAAAAAGAGACACTACTATGCCAACAAAAGTCTATCTAGTTAAAGCTATGGTTTTTCCAGTAGTCATGTATGGATGTGAGAGTTGGACTATAAAGAAAGCTAAGCACCAAAGAATTGATGCTTTTGAACTCTTATGAGTCCCTTGGACTGCAAGGAGATCCAATCATTCAATCCTAAAGGAAATCAGTCCTGAATATTTATTGGAAGGACTAATGCTGAAGCTGAAACTCCAATACTTTGGCCACCGGAGGAGAAAAACTGACTCATGTGAAAACACCCTGATGCTGGGAAAGATTGAAGATGGGAGGAGAAGGGGATGACAGAGGATAAGATGGTTGGAATGCATCACCAACTTGATGGACATGAATTTGAGTAAGCTCTGGGAGTTGGTGATGGACAGGGAAGCCTGGCGTGCTGCAGTCCATGTGAGTCCATGAGACTCTTTGCAGTCCCATTGCAAAGAGCTGGACACAACTGAGCAACTGAACTGAACTGATCTGCCCTTCATTTAATGAACCAACTTCTTTCCTCTACTTCATTCCTTTTGAAATTGTTACAAGAAAGCAATTTCTTAGTATTCACTCTAGGAAATTAGTTTTGGATCAAAACAGTTCTAAGGTCTGACCAGGCAATTCAAGTTTCCTATCATGGCCTTTCAAGATAATGTCCATTTAAGTCCAGCCAGTTAATTAGCTGGCAGTCTTCTCCCTCTTATTTGATCATTTTTCAGTAAAAGCCAAGCTTTCTGACTCACTAGTTATGGAATTTTTCCTTGAATCTCAGTGATGCAAGAAAGCCTACAGTACTTAATATGACACTTCTATTAACACAGTCATAACACATGCTGTCTCTAAAATTTCCTACTAAGGAAAACAAGACTTGCTTTTCCTAAATACATTCTCTTTCAAAGTCTTCAACATCTCTAATCTAATTCAATAATAAAGCAAGATGTTCTTATATACTCAAGTCTGGCACTTTATTTTTCTTTCCACCATCACATACTTCTATCCCCATTTTTCAAATTTACAAATAGACAACCTGTCAAGTTGGGTTTCATTTTGATGACATATGCTGAACAGGCTTGGTTCCCTAAAGGTCATTTAGACACTATATACTAAACATATATACATGGATGGTGTATATGTATGTATATGGTTGTGGTTTTTAACATATAATGATATTTAAATTCTGTATTAAATTAAATTCTGTATTAGATTAGCTATCATTTAATTCTGTTCTTTAGACAAAAACTAATTGACTTTTGTACAAGAAATTACATTTCAGAAGATATTCAAAGCACTGCTAATTTATTTTTCTCAGTGGTTAAACCTGACAAAAGCCAACTATGATCATTTGTAATTGTATATTTCATCTGTCACAATTTTATCACCAGTCTTCTGACCATTATGCCAAGCAAACTTGTTTGTACATACAAAGTAGTCCAACCAGGAGACTTGCATAAGTAGATATTTTCACAGATTTTTGCCCTCAGAGCTACCTGTAATAGTACACCTATAAATAAACACATTACTTCAAGCAATGACATTGTAGCTTTACAGTGAGCACCTCACAGAATAATGTCAGTTCAGTTCAGTTCAGTCGCCCAGTCGTGTCCTACTCTTTGAGACCTCATGAAATGCAGCACACCAGGCCTCCCTGTCCATCACCAACTCCCGAAGTTTACTCAAACTCGTGTCCATTGAGTCGGGGATACCATCCAACCATCTCATCCTCTGTCGCCCCCTTCTCCTCCTGCCCTCAGTCTTTCCCAGCATCAGGCTCTTTTCCAATGAGTCAGCTCTTCACATCAGGTGGCCAAAGTATTGGAGTGTCAGCTTCACCATCAGTCCTTCCAATGAACGCCCAGGATTGATCTCCTTTAGGATGGACTGGTTGGATCTCTTTGCAGTCCAAGGGACTCTCAGGGGTCTTCTCCAACACCACAGTTCAAAAGCATCAATTCTTTGGCTCTCAGCTTTCTTTATAGTCCAACTCTCACATCCATACATGACCACTGGAAAAACCATAGCCTTGACTAGATGGACCTTTGTTGACAAAGTAATGTCTCTGCTTTTTAATATGCTGTCTAGGTTGGTCATAACTTTCCTTCCAAGGAGTAAGCGTCTTTTAATTTC